TGCCCAGCTTGTTGAATGCCTCATTCGTGGGCACCAGCACCTTGGATCAGACCGCTCTCGCCCTTATGTGTCGAGCCCGCTCTCGTCCGAATGGATCGCCCTATGAAGAAGCCCGGCGGGGAGAACCTTTGAGTTCCTTTGCCACGCCGAGGTGCACAAGATGGTACAATTCCCTTCACGGTAAAGAGGAGAACCAGCAGAGAGTGGGTCAAATTGTTATGTCCCCAATTGGGTTGCCCTGGCAAATGGAACCCTGGGGACGAAATTGACCAAATACCTGTGGCCTGGTGGCTTTTCATTTCTGACCCATGCCTAAATGGCCATGCGTCAAAAGCCTGCACCCGCCAGTGAACATCCCAATCCCCACTAAAATGGACTAAAACTGCCCCAAAATGGTACCATTGGTTTTGACCCACAAGTCTTCTGTCGTCAGCTTTCTGCCCAGGTGCCGTCAAAGGCCCCTCCCGCAGCGCCGGCTCTAACCCCGCCAGCCGAATCGCCTCGAACGGGGTGCGGACTGGCGCACAAGGGATCCGAGAGCTGATCGTCTGTTGGCCCAAAAAGTTGGCCTGGCTTCCTGTTGGCTTCCCTTGAAAACCTAAAAAGGGTACCCTCAGAGTAAAGCCACGCCCACGTGCCCCCCTTTTGGGCACTTTGAAAGTCTTTGAGATTGGGAACCCGAAGGATCGACCCTCCCCCGAAGTTCTGGAAGGATATACATGGTCATACAGGTATCCATGACGCGGATGCTCGGAAGGGGACCCCATATTCATCGGGTGCTCAAAGGGTTTATGGCCATTCCTCAATGACTCAATGGCCAGGAAACAGAACCTTGGACGAACTACTGCACCACCTAAGAAACCCTGGAATGATGACTTTCCTATAAACTCCCACACACAATGGTTTCCCATGGTTTCAAGAAGTGGTGCGACTGGATTTCCTCCTTTTGAGTTACCCGTGGGATGCATCCAAGTCTGACCCTCGGGCCTTGCTCAACCCTCACAAAATCAAATAGCCCAAGGCTCGTGGCTTGAGCTTTGGGAATCCTGCGTTGCAACCTTTGGGAGGCTGAAGCGTTCTTTGGCACAACTTCGCACGCGGAGAAACCGCCCAGGCGAAGTCCTGGATATCTACACCTCTTTGGCTACGGTTGTGCATCTGAGTCAACCTGCCCATGTGACCAGATGTGGCGAACTGCTGTGTCCGGCGCTGAAGGCCCCACACACAAACGCCCAAACTTTAGATGCTTACAAGGGGTGGAAGAAGCAAACCAAGTCGGGGTGATTCCACACCCGAATTTGAGCCAAGTCGACATGTGATATGCTGCACAGCTGCCTTGCGGCACTTCCAAACTTCAAGCAATATCATGGGCATAGCGGCATCGTATGATAAATCCCTGCAGAGCACTAGGTTGTGTAGCCAAGCTATGATGCCTGCTATTGGTAAGGCCGAAAATAGAATGCAAACCGTAAACTCGGTGACTTTGCCTGGCACAGGCAGCTTGTCTTGCCATGACGCCTGCAAAACCCACCTCTATTGCGTGCAACCGAAGGCCCTTCAGCGCGGTTGAGCTGGCCTGCTGGATGATAGAGAAGTAGGACTCACTCTGGATGAGCTCTACCTTAAGGCCACCAAAAACATAAATTTCGAAGGCAACCAGCGTTGGCCTCGCACGAAGCAAATTGGCCTGCTGTAAATATGTGTCTGCATTTGATTCCTTCTCCATTCAGTTCGGTGTCTCCGTACCTAGAGAAGATTGGCATAATCCCACATCTTATTCGGGATGGACCCACCGGCTGTGGGGGGTTCAATCTGCCAATCCTGAACAAACAAAGCCATGGCTCGTGTGGAAGCGTTGCCTTTGCCTTTGCACTGACCTTCAGCCGCTTTTTCACCAGGGCACTATGTCCATCGTAGGCGCCGGCAGGACAAAATTTGGCGGCATGAAAACCTGAGGATGGGTCAAAGCGAGTTCCAAATTGCCACACATACCAATCCACACAAATTGGTGTCCAGAAATGGGTGGGATTCTCGCCGAAATGAATGGGGTTCCCCAAGGCACCTTCCCGATGGTGTGCACCAGGCCGTTGGATGCTTGCAGATCTTGCCGCGAGATTGGCACCAAATTCCTCGCAAGCAGATGTCTCGTGGTTCAGAGGTGACTCATTGGGGAAAACCCGCAAAAACTGGCCATGTGCAGCTAGGATTCACTACGAAGGGCGTGACTGTCGTCACGGCGAGAGTCTCCCCCTGCACGCAATGCAGCTCATCTGTCGCAACAGTCTCATGCATTGGGTTGCGCTTCACCCCAATAACCATTTTCGATGAGTCAATAGGCCTCTGCGCCAAACGCCAAGACCCAACGGACGTCCGCGCGCCTCGAAAGTCGACAAGACCTGCAGTGCTCAAAGCTCCCGCTGGCATGAGGAAAAACCGTATGGGTCCCATTCGGGTCCGTCCTGCCCCGCTTGCAGCTGTTGACTTGGCGTGTCTCCATAACACACGTGGTACTGCAAGACCTGGCGACAGGATCGCAAAGGCTGTCATTCAACCGCCCCTCTCGAGTCACGGAGGCAAGGCAAATCTCAGATTTCTCTGGCGGCCTGGGTCAGAAAACCAGTGTTCTCCAGCTGCATCCTCAGAACAGAGCGACAAAGGAATGGCTTCACGAAGGAGTGCATGATGTCATTGGCTGCAGTGGATCGGACTTGACACGACTTGACGATTCTTCAAGTTCAGGCCAACTCGATGAGGAGTTGATGGGGATTGCACTGGGGATGTATGTCAAACCAATCTACAACCTTTAGTGCCGCATCCAAGACTTTCTTGAGCCCTTTGACCACCACCCGGAGCCATCTGCCAGAGCCATTGTCCAAGCATCCAAATGATCTACAGAAATATCACGATCATAACTACACTGCCAGGACAGTTGCGCCTCTTAGGCCTTCTCAGAGAACACAACCCTTTCCCCCTCGAATCCTGCAAGGTGATGCTGGGTCATTCGCGGTCGAATTTTCACACTCCAAAACCTTTAAAGCATTTTAAACTTAAAAGAGGGTGATAATTGACCGTCCCATTCCTGCCACACGAAACCGAATTGGAAATTCGACCCGCGGGCGATCCATACGGCTTCGCAGAAACCAGCAAGAGGCACATAAACTGTCGTCCTCCTGATGTATTCATTGCCCCACCATCACTCTCTTGGTCCTTCTCTCTCGCCAACACAAGCGGCTCAGCCACATCGCAAGCCACGGCGAAAGCAGGCACGCAACCGCGGTCACCCTGAACGTGAAGGGATCTGATTTGAAATGTAGTTGTGTTTCCTGCAGTCCTGATGAACAAATTCTTACTCTACTGTCCGATGCAGAAAGGCAAGACAGAAATGCATCTCAACATGGTTCCGCTGCCTTTCCATCGGGGTTGGTCTCAACATGGGGGAACCCCTAAAATGGCAACGGTTTCCACAAAGATTCCTCTCAAAATGGCATGCCCCACAGTTTCTCAAAATGGTTGACCCTTTCTTGGGGGCAAAAAAGAAGAAACAGCCCAATTTTAGTCGTCCCATTTTGAGGGGGCACCCACAACTCCGCCCACTTTTGATTCGGGTGGCAAGGAGGCTGCCACACCGGGGCCCAGCAACTGCCAGGCAGCGTTGGTCGGGGCGAACATGGTGAAGGGACCAACTCCTGCGGTCGCTTTTCTTTCCGGTTTTCTGCGCATAAGGTCATGGATCAGTCAGAGAGTCGCGGCTTCACCGACCCTAGTGTGCCTATGATCAGTCAAAGAGTCTTCGTTAGTGTGGCTGTGCGCTTGGGTCGAAACAACTCCCGGTGGACTGAAACCCGAATTCCTGAAG